TGGAGTTTCCCAAATTTTGTCCAATTTTGCACATAGGGATAAAATATCAAGAAATATGCTTTCATAAGAAACGTCATCATCATTGTGAGACAAGTCCAAAAATGTTTATCTTCTCACGGCCTGTGATCAGTTGCAGTAAAAATATTGTTTAAAGACACATCCGACCACGGTGCGCTAGTGTTTTCCACTTGTGAAACGGTGAATATTTTGGCGAAGCCGGTCACACTACAGCCATAACAAGGTAGCTCAGAGTTAGAATAAAATTCACACAGTGTGTGACCTGAAGACTATTGATATTCAGCAAAATGGAATTAAATCAAATGTCTCATGTGGACCTACTCTTGCAATTCTTTTCAACAAACACCAATTATTCCCAAAGGCAATGAAGCGCCACTGACATCACAGATTTTGCTGAGTCTGAGCCTTGCTCTAATGATGATGATATGTGTCGACAATTTTCTCTTGACTGGCTCCAAAATAATGTGCAGGTATATAATCAGGTATTTTGTGAGGCGATATCGGTCAGGTACCTGAAACCATCTCTTATTCCCCGATGGAGGTGAACAACACATTCCGATAGGCAAAACAAGGGTATAGAAGACCTAGGGCTGGTTGGATGCGTTTTGATGCGACAAGGTGAGGCATAGGCGTAAGTGATTCCATTCTCGGATATTCTTTCGAGTGCTTCATCTGTCAGCCTGACTTCAGGGTAACGCATCTTCTCAGATACAGGTAATAGACGAAGCGTAGAAAGCGGCTTTACTGGCTTCAGTCATGTGCAAAACTGTTTTCTGCCGCAGAAATCCTCGCTTTCCATGTATTTGAGTATGAATGTGCAAGCAACGCAATCCGTCAAGACAAAGTAAAGGGATTCGCAGAGCACAGTGCGTAGTGAATGGAAAAACCATGGTTCACATATTGTGATCCGAATGCATTTTGCAAATAATCTTGAACGCATTTGCCAAATCGGTGCAGGATATAATTAGCTGTCAGGTCCATCATTGAGATATGTTCTACCACATATCAAGCCCTGGGCGGTCGAATAATTACCTCAGTTTTGTTACTGTTCAATTGGGTTTGGGTGAGTTGGGCGCGGAGCAGATGCTCGTAATAATTTTGACGCATCGGTCATGGTCTGGACAGCATTTTTGGTTTCTGCTGATTCAGAATGCAAGCAAGAGTGTCACTGTGGTAGGCGATGATGTCAGCATAACTGTGACCGATACCTAAGATAATATATTGTTTATGAAAATGGACTACCTATGTACATGGTCATCGTCAGCGCGGTCAGAATTTCACATTCATTACGGGAACCCTTCGTAGGTGGTTTGATTTGAAGAGGTGTTTTTCAGTGCTTGCGGCAAAAGCCAATGATTATGGACCGGCCTGACAAGCGCCATTCCATCCGCCTCAGTATAAGGCGCATTATTGGAGCGATAGCGGTTAAAGTCAAATTGACCGCATTTCATTTATTGTCTTCTTAGTTAATCCAAACCGACCTGCGCATTAGTAGGTGGGACCTCGGTGCGCAATCCGGCACACTTTCGTTCAATTTAGAGTCGTATGTTAACAGAAGTCACGCTTTTCGTTTTGTTCATAAGTGCACCAAGAAAATCGGGTCATATCCGTGTTGTTTGAGCTTGCTTTGGTTAATGGCCCTATGGAGTCTGTAGTGAACTGAACAAGTTACTAAATTAAGCCGGATGCAGAGTCACACGGAGAAAAATCCAAGTAAATCTTGACTCACCGTTCACAATGGGAGATACCGTAGTTCAGTTTTCGGTTGAATCGTGACATCAGGATGAATAATTCTACCCTCCTGGTACTTCTCCAAATCCAAAAAATTGCCGGCGATTCATCTTTTGCCTTGCCATTCCTCAAAGTGTGCCATTCCTAAAAGTGATTGCATTATTTCCACATTTCCACTTGTCACCTAATCCCATAGTTTTTGGCGAGTAAGGTGCTAAACCATGAAACATTTTGGAGGAGGCTTCTAAAGCTCAAATTGGATGACAACCGGCTAGATATTTTTTTCCGGATTTCATTCATGCATATTATGAGCTAGATTGCAAACTCTCGGTTTATTTTCGATCAATGGGAGAGCATCAGCCATCCAGATATCGGTAATCTGTTCTGAAGACGATCGTTTGAATTATGGGAGCAAATCGAATGTGTTGTTTAGCTCTAACTGGTTAAACTTTGTAAAGCACACTGTCTGTGTGGATTGTACGACCATCCTCGAGGGTCGCTAGTCCAAACAAGTTAGAGGGAAATCGCTAGGTAGAAAACCAATATTTATTGAGGATTCAGGTGTTTTGTATTCAAAATACAGCTGCTACGTTTTTATCAGCTGAAACACGTCAGCCGATTGTGGAAGCAATGATTGCGTTTAGCCGGACGTATAATTAAGGATGAGTGTAACGGGTCAAAGCAGGTCCGAGAAAAAATTGCATTTAAACAGAAGTGCAGAGCAAGGCTGATGGACGATACACACGCGTTCCGATGCAGAGTGTAACTTTTGAGGACTGTGCAGTCGTCTTACCAAATGACCGACTGTTGGGCTTCTACGCTTCAAAGCCAAAGAATATTGTTCACCACATGCTTTTCTTGCTGTGGCACAGCTTCCACCAAACGATTAAGGTGTAAAGTGAGATGACTCAGATGAGACCAATTAAACATTTTGGCACAACAATGAGCTCTTCATATGACAACGCAGTTACCATTGTTTGTTATGCGATGGCTGAAAAGAGGATAAACCACTCGTATGTTGGAAATTTTTTACATCATGCTATTCTCTCAAGTGAGTGGTAGAAATTGTAATAAAATTACCAATGGGCTGATTCCATGCTTGCAAATAAACGTCATTATTGTTTCTAATGTTTTTTTTCTAATGCTAGCTGGTTTGTGCACTCAAGTCGGAATAATTGGCGCACCTACTGTTCTGTAGAGCGTCTGCACTATGTTAAGTAAATTTTTAAGTCATTTTAATTAGACGACACCAGACAACCAAAAATTGTTCATCACAAGCGAGAGATGCAGCGGCCTTTCAGGAACAATGGGAAGCCATTTGATATGAAACCTTGCAAGGTGTTACATGAAGATTAAGCGGGGACAATCTTTAGCAGTTAATATAGACCGACTACACCGACCATATTCATTAACTCATGACTATCGGCAAAACTTCGATGAACTGAGCAATGCCTTGTCATTCCACCGTAAATCTGGAATTCAGATTTGAAGCAACGTAAGTTCCTATTTCGAATTCCCACATGTTCCCGGCCAAAATTGGTATATTTATAGTTTAGATATGCAAAAAACTTTGTTTACGAGCGAAGTCACCCTTTCTTGATCAACTTGCTTTGATCATCCGATTTAATCATCAGACGAGTTCAGACTCACGCATGAAAATCGCAAAAAGTTATGTCGTCGTGTTTTGAGCGGAAGCTGTAAAATAGGGGTGCGGCTAAATTGTTTGACCTTTCGTTTGACGTTCCGCTTTACTTCAAAATAGAACATAGTATTAACTTCATTTGAGGTTATTCAACGTCACTATAATGCTCTTGTTCTTTCCCAGTTCGGGCGCTTCGATTTCGACAAAGCCTGTTGCAGAAAGTGCTCTCGAAAATTCCAAAGTTACATGAGTGTATTAAGTCATATTCATTAGACGTTCGAACAAATTCGTTATCCCCAAAATGTTCTCTTAACCTGGGTCGTTGAGAATAATATTTAATAGATGATGCACTTCTAAATTCAACTTAACATTTCCTGGAAAAAGTAAGAATTTTGGCAAAAAATGGTGACTATTTCGTTATTCCATTTGTAATTTTGACCACGTAGTGAAACCATGAATATCTGTCACAAGTATATTGCCTATTCAAAATAGGAAAATGAATAAATTTCGCTGATCGGATAGGTTTCTGGACGCAAACAATCGGATTTAGGAATGCAACCTGATAGTTGTGACGCCCTTGATTTGTGAAATTCGGTTTGATATTTGACCAAATTTGAAAATTTGAAGGCACATAGAACTCAGCTGCAGATAGCTGGGTTGTCGTGGAAAGTTCTAACTGGACATTTGGAAACCACATTTATAGTCTTAATTAACATACTGCTTTTCAGTCCGGGTTTTCAAACAGTCCAGCCCAATCTTTGCAATCGCAAGATTATTAACGTGAATGAAAAAATATATATATTTGTTTATCAGCTAAA